GCCCTGCTCCTGCTGCCCACGCTGTTTATTCAACTCTAACAGAATCGACAAACTCCCTGCATAGTTACACAGCCTGGCAAGCTCAAGCAGATGAAAGGAGCCAAGGAAAAACTGCCTAACCAAGTGCTTTGATCATGCTTGGAAAAAAACCAAAATCTCTAAACCTCACCAAAAAAATTCCTCCTGCTCAGAAGGGAGGAATCTGAACTACTGCTTCTGAAAAAACAATTCTGATCAGCGAGGCGAATGCCACTTAATTATTATTGCTTTAAAAACCTCAGGCTTTGGTTACAAGTTTAGCCTACCAAAGAGAATGGCCAACCAACTATGATCACTGCACAAACACTTTCCAGTTCCAAATTTTTGCAGAAGAGAAAACAAGATTAATTTAAGCTTGCAGAAAGGCTTGGCAGGTTTTCCACAGCAACTGCTTTGACGCTTTTATCTCTTTGAAATAGATGAGCCTCTCTCAACAAAAGGAACTTCAAGTCACACAAATGTGAATGAAGGAGGCTTCACAAGGAAGAAAGGTCTAATCGGGGTGGAGAAGTTTTCCTCTTCTTCTTTCCCAAAAGCTGCTATTATGCATCTCACCAGTACTGCTTTAAAAGTGGTTTCTTTTAATCACTAATCAGAACCAAAGCATATGGAAAACCCCAATGAAGCTGCCTCATGACAACGCAGTGGCATGCCTGACAATTTCTATTCTTCTAGTCTAGTACAATATTATTCTGTTATTACTCCATTAATTTCTGAGCAACACAAGGGTGAACCAGTTGGGCAATTCTCATGCCATAAGAAACAGCCTTTAACAGCTTTAAGTTTAGGGGGTGGCCAGCAAAAGAATTCAAAGGTACAAGATGCTGCATACAGCATTTTGTGTCCTCTTGTCAACACTTTCTGTCACACAGAATCACAGAATGTTAGGGGTTGGAAGGGACCTCAAAGATCATGTCCTTGGATTTGCCCACTCTCTGCCCTGCCCATCAGCCTGATTCCAATGCCCCTCCTGCAGGGCAGGATGTTTTTGTGTAGTTATGTTGTGCTAAGTCAAGAACTGGCATGTTTGGGGCTGGGAAGTGCACTATGCTGGAAAGAAATCCACAATGATTCTTTGGGCAAGAATCAATGTTAGATGATTAGACAACGAGCTGTACAGGAGTTGTAATAACCCATCCTTATGATTGTGTAACACTGACAGCAGCTGACCACAGTACCAACCAGTGCAGAAAAATCAACCATTCCCTGAGAAGCCTGTTGTATATACAGCCCCACTGTATCACTAGAACTTGAGAGTGACCTACATAAATGCTCCAAGTGCTTTCTACAAATTCAAGTTTCAGAGACTTGGTCTTCCTTGGGTGAGATATTAAGATAAAATTAAAGGGAAAACAAGACAAAACCCATCACCCCACCTGCGATAACTTCAGATCAGTGCACGTTGGAAGTGCAGAATACAGTAACAGCAATGCTTCTGAAAATGACAAAAATGATACCCACAGGCATATTATTAGAGAAGGAGCCCCTCAAACCAGGCATACTTACAGGGGTAAGGGACCTTGAACCAGGGGGCCACCAGGAGCACCCCTCGGCGGGCGTCCGTGCGGGCGTAGAAGCCGTACTTGGAGCTGTCGGGGGGAAAGACGTCTGTCACGGTGAAGATGAAGCAAAGCAACCATGACACCAAAATAGCTAAAATAATCTGTGAAAGAGGGGAAAAGGCCGTTTAAAATAACCCACCATTGGCAATATCCATCAGCAGCAAGCAGCTCCTGCACAGAATATCTCTTACACACACCCCTAAGTGTGCTCTCTGGTGAAATGTTAGGACTGAACGAGCAATAAGCCCTGTAATAGATCTCTTAGGTGCTTCCCCTTGGCCCCTGGCAAAGGGGCTGTTACAAAAGCTTTAGAAGGAGGGTTAGCCTCTTCTCTCCCCTAACCAATGGGAAAGATTCCAAATGGGCACTTAAACAAAGCAGTGAATTAGTCTCAACTTTACCAGAAATAAAAAGAAGCCTTTCACGTGGGGGACTGGAGTATTGCTTTCATAAAACTAGAGGATAATGATCTCACCATCCCTTTCTGCAGGGTTCAAGTTTAGGCTTTCACTGCATACATAAACATAACTTCTTCTCTAACCCATTCCCTCCCCTCCATCACCTTCATCACTCCAATGACTCTTCATCAGAGATGGATACCAGAATGGGATGTGGCAAAACTACAGTGAGACTATTTCCTGGGGCAAATAAGCCATTTAGTCACATTTTCCATAAGCCCATTTAAGCTTTTATTTCACCTTTGTGATCTACTGTATTAAGAAAAAGCAAAACCAAGGAAAAACACCCCAAAACCCCGCAAATTAGGGTGTTTTTGTGAACTGAAGAACAAGTGCAACTACTCACAGGGAACATCTTGAAAAGCTGCAGCCTGTATGCTGTCCATCCTTTCTTGGACTTGTAAATGGGTAAGGGAAATTTGACATTTCTGGCATACTGAGAAAACAACAATACTAGGAAAATAGTCCTGAGAAAAAAGGAGGATGGGACAAGAAAGGCACATCATTCATTAGCACTGAGATGTTAAAAATCCTCCTCAGCACAAACCCACCCAACCTCTTCAGAAGCAGAATATCAATGTACAGTTTAAATTTAGCACAAGACATCATAAAAGAATATCTTTCAAATAAATTATTTTTCCGTGAAAGCCAAACCAACAATTTATATTCAGAAGTGCTGCAAAAATAGCCAGCAGCAAACAAGTAAATGAGATCAGGAAAATGAATCACACTAAAGATCTCCAGAGCTAAGCAGCCATCAGGTAAGAGCTACGCTGTGCTGCTTGCTTCCTTCCACTCAGGCTCTGTCTGTGCCCAGCTCTGCTCCGTGTGAGCAGCAAACAGCTGCTGCTGGAAGATGGGAAGAAACAAAGCTGGAGGCCAGTTCAAAATCTGCAAAACTTCCAAAGCACTTGAAAAATTTCTGTCAGAGGAAATCCTTTTTTCAATTCTTAAGAACCCCATGGTTTTTTTTGGTCTATGCACCTTTCACTGAACAGCTGTAAATCAAGCAGAACAGAGCCTTTTCCTTTCAAATGCAGTTCACCAGTAACCCAGTTTACTACAGTTTTTAGCTGCCTGAAGTATTATGTATCCTCCCTCCTTGTCAAAACTGCTGTGCTCCCCTACATGTTAAAAATTAATTCAACTTGACAGCTAAAATAAGTATCCACTGCAATGAAAAACAAAAAGCCAGGGCAGGATGCTCAGTTCCAAAGCAGCCAAAATCAGTTTTGCTATAAAAAGGCTACACAAAGAGTCAAGCAGTGTGAAGCAAAGCTTGTCTGAAATGTGAGATTGTTTTTATCAGCTGACTTAAAGAGAAAAAAAAAAGGCAAATTTTAAGCCTCCCTCCCTTTTCTGTCCAAGATCAGTTTCAGTCTGAAAGAAACAAAACAGAGCTTTATTCTCCCTGCAGCTCCACGAACAGAGAGCTCTGCACAACAAGGGTGTCACCTGTAGCCCTGCCCCACCAGAGCTGTGGGATAAAAGCACCTTTTCCTTGCTTTCAGGGAACATTTTGGCAGCTCTCCCCGAGCCCATTATGGAAAGCCAGGCTCAGCTCTGCTGCCATGCTGAGACAGGTGGCATCCTATTGTGATTGACTTAGTAAAGAGTTGTAAATAATGTCATCATATGACATGACAATGAAAATAACATTCTCTTGGCTACCTGGCAGGGCGGCTCAGTGCCACTGTGTAAAATATTACCAAATATTACCAAATCTTTAGATGAAAATTTCAAAATCTTTTAAAACAAATTGTTTTGTGCACCAGAGTCACATGCAAAGAGCAATTCAGGAATCATTTCCCTTTTTACAGAGCACAACACAGTGTATTTCATGGATTAAATTATTTCAGCTTGGCACCTGCAGAGGAAGCAAGGTCAGAAAACTGTGTGACTGGAAATCTTGTCCAAGAGCATGTGCAGCTAACAGAGGATAACAGCTCTTGCACAGGTATTATTCTGCCATGCTAGACAGCAATATAGTATTTCTATCTCACCAGAACAGTCAAGACAACTTCTAGTGCCACATCTTGTAGAGATCAAGTTACTTTTGAGTGGCTTTAGATGGCCATGGAGTTATTTTCAACAATCTAGGGCAGATTTTTGCATGGCAGAAGCCAGAGAGACTTACTTGGTGGATAATATTTAAATCCCATTCCTAAATAGATTTTTTTTTTCCTCCCCATCTGCAAAATGTCAAAATTAATTACACATTTCCACGTCCAATTCACCAAAGGTCTGCTTGATTGATTTAATATTAGTCCCAACTTGCATAGAATTTGTTTTACAGGAAAATAAAACGTTCCTTTGGGTCAGCTGCTTAACATAATAGAATTACAAAAATATTCATGATGCTAACATCTGAGATAAAAGAGAATTAAACAGCCCTTTTAATCATAAGCTGCACTTAAGGAATACTTTACATGTTCAAAGTACTGTGCAAACAGATTAGTCAGATCAGAATCTGATCTCATCAAGTCATTCCTTCCACTTCCAGAGCCAGCACAAAGTTGGTTGCTATACACTGAACATAGGAACTGCTTTGGCCACTTCCCTTTTCCCAAAAACGTGGGTTGCATCCTTAACTGGCTGGTTTTCCACAGCACCTCACGGGAAGCTTTTACCTTTGCTTACATCTCATTTTCCCTGGTTATTCCCTTTCACACCTTTGATTTCAGTTCTCCCACTTCCCTGGCATCTAAGCCTGCAGAAGCACACACTTCATGCTCTGAAATTCACTCTAAAAGCCTTTCTGTCTGCTAAACAGAAATCTGTCTGCTTGTGCCTCATCAACTGATGGCATTCGTGGTAACAATACACATGCTCTCTGTCCTCACCCAAATTTCTCCTGGCTATAGGTAAGCAAACCAGTAACAAGGACAAGTGGACCACTGTTACCACTGGTGTTTGCTCACTGCTGCAGAATAAGAAATGTACCTGATAGTGTCATAAAAAGAGACAAGTTGTCCACACCACTCTCTGGTGTTTTGCTAAACCTTGTGCTGTAGCACCGAATCGGACGCAGCCAACGGCTGCCGGACCAACTGCTGCATCATGGAACCCTCTGTTCCCCACCCCTCACCTTCAGCTGTCGTCCTTTCCCACCATCCTCAGCCCCACTCTGCATTCCCCACGCTGGGAGCACTGCACACCGAGCAGGCTCCGGGATTCCCACCCGACCTGTGCCCAAGGGGCAGCCCTGGCCGGGGCCGGGCGCCCGCGGGGTACTCACAGCATGGCGATGCCCCAGTGCTTGCCCGCCCGCTCCCCGGCGGCCTGGAAGCCCGAGAGGCCGATGAGAGCCACGGTGGGGGTGATGGTCAGGGGCCCGATGTAGCGCAGCAGGGCCCCGGGGAGCCCCAGCAGGCCGATCACCACTTCGATCAGGGAGGACATGATGATGGCACCTTGGATCTGAACACACAAGAACGGGAAAGACGCCGTTCAGTCCGACCTCACAAGCCGACCCCACACGTTTCTTTTTCTGCTCTGGATTACAAACTGCAGTTAAAAGAATTCAGTGACACAGAAGAACTCAGCAAATTTTTCGTCATAATACAGCTCATTAGGTTTAAGTGACTTAGCGCTTAAGCATAACACTTATGGTTTTCTCCACAAAAATATTACACAACAGACCAGTGGGCCAGTCTGGTAGTTGTGTGGATAGCACATCACACTGTCAGACAGGAGACCTGGGTTCCAGGCTAACCTTTAAGCTCTCAGATCGAACCGGCAAGGGCTGCTGGCGCCACGGAGGTGATGCTCCTAGCTCCTAGGGGCAGAGTGTGTGCTGCATTGGTCACAAGTGCTCCTTAGAAGCTGGTATAGAGCAGCGTTGTGGTCTCAGGAGACTGTCAGCCCTCTTGGCTGCAGGGCTCTTGGCAGGATGTAGCTATGGTTTGAACATGGGGAAGAGAGAGGGGTTGTTTTTAATTAAGAAAAAGTTTGCAGCCCAAAGCAACGGGATGGGAGATAAATTCCATGACACACGCCTTAATTTGGACTACGCTATCTACCGCTCTGGTGTGATGCCTGGGCACAACCCTCATCCTGGGCTCTGCAGAGCAGGTGAAGTTCAGACTGCAGTGCTGCGAGTGGAGAAGCAGAGCTGGATGCATTTCAGCAAATGCCTTGGGAGAATCAACATCTTATCAGAATAGTCTCCAACTTAAGACACCTAGGGATGAACCAGATTCGCTAACTGCGCATTGAGCTTCCACGGGACAGCCTACTGGGCAGAGTGACAGCAGGCAAGTGGTCTGGGAGCAGCTGAACTGCTACCAGTGAGCACAAATCCCAGAGTGGTACAAGAGGAGCATTCGTCTCGCCTGCGCGTTTTACTGCGCGTCTTTTGGGACGTGGCAGCTAACTCCTTGTATTGCTGTCCAGCAATGAACAGGCTGGAAAGATGAAGACTTCCATGAAATGAATAAAGGGATCTAGTCAAATGAAAAGCACAGTGAAAGAGTGAAATCGCCAACTTAAAGACAAGAACACAGGGATGGTTAGGTGGGAAACTTAACTGGAGTCGGACAGATCAACAGCTAACGCTACTCCTGCATTACCTCTCGGATTCTGGGATACCAGATGTGCTCCGTGTGAAGCAGTTCTGCTGTTCCGTTTGTAACTGTGATATCTTACAAAAAGAAGAAAAGAAAAAACGCAGGTATTTATTCCCCAGTCACTTTACCAGCACTCAATACAAAGTAAATCCCTCCTTAAGCTGTGTCTGACAAACAAGCCTTGATTCACACACGAGTCCTGCAGCGCTACCCGTCAAGTAGTAACACGCTCACCTTCCCCAGGAGCTAACCACTGATTTTACCCACTGCACCAACGTGGAAAAAAAACCCCACAACTTTCTGAAAGAAAGGTCAATTAAGGATTCTCTTCCCACTCCAGTAAATGGCTGAAGGAAGAATTACACAGCTGCATACTAGGCACCAAGCACTCAAACGTTTGCTGTTCACCAGTTTAGGTCACTCGCTGAAAGATGAACTGACCTGTGGCAACAACCCCACCTGACACCTTTTGAAGGTAGAAAGGTTTGAGAGTGAGGTGCAGCAAAGGCTCTTTTGGAAAATCTGAAGCAGTGGGAAAAACTGCTTTGCCATCAAAAGTTGTCAGTATTTTCTTTCCAAGAGGCTAATGGATTATCCCACCCGTTAGGATACTGGCCCATTTTGGTGCCCAGGAATACCCAGCCCAGCGGCGCTCCTGACCCACGCTGTCCTTTGGCTTCACCTCCCAAGCAGGGAGCCCCACGTGCTACTTCCCAGGAGCTAAATCTGCCTCCCCTAGTGAGAAAATGTGAATGATCAAAGCTACACTTTCTATAGAAGAAATACCAGGAAAACAAATCAGATGTTCTTAAGTGAATCAAAAGAGATGTATAAGCACATTAATATAAACTATTAGAGAATCAAAGTACCCCCTGGGAGAATTTTAGCTAGAAGCAAGCAGCCTGTTTCTCTGTGCTGCTGTCTTGCACTGCCCACAGCACAACCGCTCCCCATTAAAGAGAAAACTCCCAGAGCCATTTCCACTTCAGTTTTCTAACCAAAGTTAAAGTAAAACCTCCCTCCCCAGCCAGTTTTACTGCACATTTTCACCCTCTAAATAGACTCAAAACCTTTCAGGATTATGAACATCCAAATATTGCCAAAGCTTGCTCTGCAAAACCTGTCAGGTAGGAGTTAAACAGGAAAAATACTGGTCTTGAAGTGATGCTGAACATGACTCAAATTTCCTACTACTCAACTTAAAAAGTCTCAGTCAGATCTACTATTTCCAAATAGCAGAAGGAACATTCATGGAATCCTTCTGCCTTTCACTACATTGTTAACAAAAGAACTGTTCTATGCTACTGTCAGATTTCTTTTGTCAACATTTTCTACAGGGAATAAAAATCCCCCAGAAACAAAATTTCACAAGGGCATTTTTAGGAATCTTTTTCTGAGGCACTAAGTTTTAGCATTGCAAAAGGAGAGAATTTTTCTTATTCCCTGCTCATTCCTGCCTGTTGCCACATCAGAGGGTTTGGCAGTTGCACTATGTGTGCTCTGGGTCATTTGTCACTGAAACCTGAACAAGCACAAACGACAATTACCTGTGTTATTACATTTCCACTTCTCCAGGGAGAGTATTGCTCTAGCAGGTGCTAAGAATGCAAAAGCACTCGCTTGAAACAAGGGTAACCTGGTGGGAAGGGAGAGAAGAGATGCTGACGTTTCTTGGTGTCACGGTGCCGTGTCAGGGCATCAGCTGCAGTTAGGTGGTTACTCATCCTCAAAACCATCCTTCACTGGAGGTTATTAAAAACGTGAAGTATGAGAATTCCTCATTAAAGCCACAGAAATACCAGGACTTCACAAACCAGAGACCTAACAGATGTTACATGCATGAAGTTATTAATACAACACCTGTAGCAGATGATTCCTGGAGCCCAGCATGCAGGTACCAGACACTGATTTAAGGTTCCAGACACTGATTTAAGGTTTTGACTCAGTATCACAAGGGTACAGATGCACCTTCTGATGCAAGCACCAGCCAGACTGCTGAACGTGCAGCTCCTACTGTCCCACCACATGAAAAAAAGCCTTTGACAGCACAGTATGTGGTCTGCATGCTCAATGCCTTCCTGCAGCATGACTTGAAGTACAGTCATTTACACATTCATCTTCAAGTGTATGGGTAAATAACCATTAGGGTTGATAAGAGCTGATTAGATGTTCCAGGTGGCTACCAACAATAAACACGAATGCTGCAAGAATTTCAAGATGACATTCTTAGCACCAGTGTTTACACTTCCTAAAAGGTTTAAGATCTAAAGAGCATCCACCAGCACCAACCACGTATTTACTGAATCAGCCGTAGCTTGCATAACATCACAATACCAGATGTTACTCAACTGCAGAGGAGATGCACTTTGAACTATTCTATAAATACCGTCGTGAACAGATTGTAACAAGATTCTCTTTAATAGCAGTTCTCCAACTGTAACACATGGAACAATTGCTCATGTGGCTCTAGTTACTGCACCACGTTTATGGCTGGTTTATAGTGCAATGAAGTGCAAACACCAGTCAAGGAAAAAGAACCGACCATGAGAAATCCAGATAAGATCAGAAAGGGGGGGGGAAAAAAAGGAGAAAAAATAATAATTAAAAAAAAAAAATCTGTGGAGGGAAAAGACCCTGTACATGCTTAACACAAAAGGGATTAAACCAGAAGCATGTTACTAGCAGTGGCTGTGAAGTTCACTGGCAGGAAGTTTGAACAGCTGAACTACCACTGGAAAGGGGTTTGGGCCATGAGTGATCTCAAAAGCTGACCCACCAGCCACAAACATTGAAAACTGCATTAGGAAGTCAAACTCCATAAAACACAGGAGCCACCTGAGCACACCAGCACACACATGCTGCCTGGCATGCAGTGCCCTTCTCAGCTTCTTCAAGCAAAAATCCAGCCTTTATCTTTGGTGAGAAACAGTTGGTAGCGACGAGTGAATGATTCACTTTATTTTTCCAAGTTCATGAAGCAAACTGAGCAAGCCAGTGCCCATGGCAAAATATGCAATACCTGTAACAAGCCACTACTCCTCTATCCCACCTACACAGCACCCTGTCCCCCCAGTGATGTTGTAAATACACATTGCAAACACATTCTCCAGTGAAGAAGTCAGTTGTACAGAGATTTAGGTCCAGATTGTGATGTTTGGATCACCTAAAACACCCTGCACACAGATTGCACAATAAAGTCTTAGCACATCTCCCTTAGCTGTCCACTCAAATCTTTACAGGAGACAACCTGCAATATTGACCAAAGCAGCCAGCAGGCACAAAATATTGTGCTTGCTTTTTTTTTTTTCCTCTGTCTTGTTGTTTTTAAGCTTATTACTCAGAATCAGCCAACCAAGATCAATCTCTTTCTGAAGAGACAGCTGCAGTTTGGACCATGACTTACAAAATACCCACCCCGTTGCTACACCACATGTTCATTACTAGCTGGGTAAGCACAGACAGCTTATAACTGGGATATCATTTTCATTTCATGTCTAAATTATGAAGTTTTTCAATTATGGCACCAGCCTTTGTAAAGACAGAGCTTTTTCTGCAGTTAAAGCCATCTGGAAATGATCTTAACATTTCACACAGATGTAAGAATCATCGGACAATGTAGCGATGGGCACAGCAACAAACCTGAAATGTTTAGGTGTAGTTTAGGTGTATTACAGCTGTATTTGATTGTCTCAGTCGTACTAATTACTCTGAATCCTTGCCAAATCTTTCAGCTTATTACATAATCTAATAAATAGCTTGAATTCCTAAAGTTAGTATGGGTACCAAACTGGCCACAACTCCACCTCATAACTGCGCTAAATCCATCTTTAAGGACCCTGAAACCATGGAATGTGACCTTCTGAAACCATAGTGGCTTTATTTGCTGAAATACTTTGCAGTTGACAGACTTGCCAATAAATACTTTAAAAATCTCAGTCAGAGAACGTTGCTGCTATATCCAATTCCCACCCTTACACAAAACCAGAATCACATGTTAAATAGTTATAAAACATTCAACCGCGGAAGTTTTCTTCGTGAGTACAAGTTCACTTATTTTGAGACCCAAACACAATTGCCTCTTCAGTAGATAAACAAATAATTCACAGCATGAGTGGGAGCCACTGGAAAGGAAAGAAATAAAACCAACCCACCACAGAGAGCAGGATTGAGATTATACAGAAGGAACAGAGCATTTCAAACTGATGGGACCACACCGGCTTCTGCAAGGGCCCCAAATCATCCCACAGTAAAGAATCAAGAGTCCATGATCAGTTAGTGAAAAAGCACAAAATATGGCAAACTAGTTTTGTGAAGAGATGAGTCTCAGGAAGCATAAAAACTGAACTTTTCCTATAAATCTGAGACAGAAGAAGAATTGAAGCAGCACAGGAAGAGCGAGCTCGCCTTTGAGTTAATCTCCATCCACAACCCTGCACGTCTTACAAAACTGGGAGACACTTCAGTAAATCCAGGGTGGAGACACTCAAAAGGAGAATGAGAAAAGACCTCATCTTCCAGTTCTTGTCTAGGTCAACAATCCCTCAATTCTCTATATGAAGTGCAAATAGAAGATGAGGGGGGAAAAAAACACTAAAAAAACTCCATCGCTCTCATTAAAAGAGAGGTTCAAAACACCAAAGGCCACAACTTGGCTCCTCTGCCTCCTTCCAGATGAGATACTTGAAAATTTATTATTACAGCTAAGTCAAGTCAGGGAAAACCTACAATATTTGGAAGGCTTTAGACAAAAGGCTGTTCTACAACTGCAAGTGATCTCCCCCTGGCTTGCCTTCTGCACCCTGTTGAGATAATGTATCCACCCAAAGATCCTGTTTCTTAGATAAATCTTTACAAACGAGGGGCACGTTAGTCCATATTCAACTGGAATGCAAGATTTCAGCTCACTTTGTTCTTAAATGGAACTAAGTTATCCAGGAATCATTCAAGTAACCATATTAGGGCATATTCTTAAAATATGCACTTTTCCTCTAGTTTTACTTATCACTCTTGGTTTATTCAACAAGATGCAGAAATAACTCAGCAGGTTTTAGCTATTTCCAGTTCTCCCAGGCAGAGTCAACAGAAGTTTATGTAAACATGTCAAACATCTCTTTGCAGTGTTTACTGTAGAAGCACATTTTTCTTTAAAAAAAAAAAAAATATCTTCTTGTTAATAAAACTTTCACCATCCTGTGCTTACCAGCACCCGATTTTTACAAGTGCTTGCTAACACTTGGTCTTCTGCACCCTCCTAGGAAGGGTGGACCCAAGGAGAGGTACAGGTACCCTGGCACACACATGTTTCTTCCAAACTCAGGGCAGGATCATTACCTGCAACATGGAGCAACTAACAAGAAGAAATGATTGGTTTGTGTTGGAAGGTACTGCAGACACTCAGTTCAGAGATTAAAGATACCCTCATCATTTTCCCTAGCTTATTAATTTGACAAGCACTTTACAGGAACAAGCACACCATTTGCTGTGGGACTAATCACAACCACCTAAATATTGGCTGGAATATAGTACCATGCAAGAAACTAATAAAAATATCAAAATTGGTTCCTCTTTACCAAAGTGTATGAATTTTTCCTTTCCCCCAGAAAACTTCTACTTTCTCTGTCCTCATGGATTTCTCTCCTACTCCTTCCCCCTCTTCACCCTGCCCTATTTTCCTGCCCTTGGAATGCCTCCTCTCATTTCACATCCACCTTTTTTTGGGAGCAGCTTTCCAAAAGCCTTCCCTAACTGCCCTGTACTTGACCTGCTATCTTGTGTTTCACATTTATCCTTTGAAAACAGACTACCTCCCTCCTGGATCTCAAACTGTATCCTGGGAATCCCAACAGATGGCTAGTGTCATCACCCTCTCAATAACCAGAAACAAGTCTTGAATCTCACCTGCACCCAAAAGTTGTTTGTAACAATGTAGTGATGCCCACGCAGAAGAAAATGGTCCCAATCAACTGGCTGGTAGCCCACTGGTCAAATCCCACACACATGGCATCAGCTAGCAAAAAGGGCACTGCTATAGTTCCACTGAAACACGTTAAGTAATGCTGTGAAGAGAAAAAAAAAATGTTTTGTTAATACTGCAGCCAATAATAATAAGTAAATAAATTTATGCCCATCTTTTCTTTTTCACTGGATATTTTTTTCTTTTGAATTCTCCAAAGCTCTCATGTCATGCTCCTCAGCACTTCTTCAAGTATTTTCCTTCCATGGTGACCTATCACTAGTCTGTTGCTAATGATTGTTATTTCTGTAGGATACACCAGGTTATTTACATAGCTACAGGTCTACTGTTCAGGAGGAGGAGGTATCTAGGTAACTGTGCTGAAAGCAGCTTCTACCTCAGAAAAGCAGATAAATAACTCCATTCACTTGCAACCATGTGAAAAACCATTAGCTTACAAATGAACTTAAGAGTACACACAAAATAGGATGCAAATAAGCTCTCAAGTGCCCAGCACTAGGTACTCATTAATTCCTTTTCAACCCAAATACATTAAGCAAACAAATAAACAACCAACAGTCACCATATTCAAGGATGCAAGTAAAAATAGAATCCCTGCAGAGCTGCCCAGCCTTGAGGAAAGGCAGAAATCGAGGATGTTTTGGAATGTATTTGTTTAGAGATCTCAACATACTTTACAGATATTAACAAATTCTCAGCATTCCTGTGGGACAGATATTGTTACTATTTGAGAGAGATGAAACAAGCTGCTCTGCTTCACACAAGTGAGTGGCTGAGCTGGCAGCAGGGCCCAGCTTGCTGCAACAGTCATGCTCATCACAGGAACCACACACTCTCATGCCAAGGAGTGCAGAATTTGCTTGCCCCACTGACTAGTGAGCCTACAGGTCCAGGAAGATGCTATCAAGCTGGCAGAATTGAAAGGACTACAGTAGCAGCTTGAATATTCAAGATTTCAGGACTAACCATTATCTCTCTCCATCTTTCATTTTTCAGAGGCATCAGATGTCACTTTTTGAAGCTTACCACTTAGTGTTTGCTCACTTACTTGCTAACAGCAGCTTAGAAGACTAAATATTGAAGTGAAACTCACAAATACCAGCAAACAATAACAGAGACCACTTTCAACACAGTAATCTCTGCAATGAACTTCAGGAGAAACTATCTTAACACTTCCTACAAACATGCGAGAGCGTGGGAAGAATAAAATCATCACTTACCCAAAATGCTATGAACTACACAGAAAATGCTGAAAGAGCTTTTAAAAGCTTCAGAGGAAAATATTATAGCTGTTACAAAACATACCTGTAACCCCAAAAATATGCAGAGGTACCAAGGAGGAACATCTTCAATGGTGTAAATCATGTCAGTTCTCTGTGCGTCTAGACTGCCGCTGCTGTCCAGCGTCTCCGCCAGAGAGCTCTGGTGTGAGAGGGGGTGGGAAGGGGGGAATGGCAGAAAAGCAGGGGAGGACACAAACAACAACAGTAGTTACTGTTACATACGAGTACACCGAATCTGAACGATCAGGCAATTCCCAGAGACTCCAAGGCTGGCAGAATCCTCCCCCAGCAATGCTGATACAGGATGTCTAAAGCCTGTTACCTCTGATGAACTCGCTGCAGCCACCGAGCACCTTCACTTCTGTAGGCTGCTCCCTGCCCACCTGCACCAACCAAACAACCCCTGGTTTGTGATAGAACCAATCCAGCAGCCAAAAGGTGCCCCTAGAACAGGGTTATCGTGACAGAACTATATACCAAAAAGGAAGAAGGCAGAACGGGAACTAAGCAGAAGAGTGACCAGTGGCTGTTTCCAAAGCAGAATGGCCATCCTTGCATAAGAGGCCAAAATCACAGGCACGACAGTTCCTCATTACAGTAATTGCTTCCTCACTTAATTCTGTCTCCCTTTCAGCCTTGGTTAACCTTTTTCAACCACCAGATTTATTATTTCTTGCTTGCACCCCACATTCAGGCAGTCGAGAGGGATGCTGCTCGTTCCAGCTGAACCCACCCTGGCCAGTCTCTGCAGCCACATGGGCTCCCCCCAAACCAGGGGCAATCTGAGCACGACCACGCTGTGGGCTGCCATGTGCCCAGACAGCTGACCACACGTGTGCACCAAACCCCTCCAAATTTTCCATTAAAACAAGGTTCAGCTCAAGCATTTGGTTCAAGCTCGCTGGTTTTGAAACTCCTGAGAACAAACACACAACGCTCCAAAGCCCAAATACCAACAAAAGCAGGAGGAAGTATCAGATTTTATCATTTCAGCTCGGGTAACCAAAAAATAACTTATATAACTACTGTTCTGACCTAATCCATACTGGAACATAAACTCACGTGAAGCAGCCTTACACAAAGACTGGGAATTCTGCCAGACTCGTGACTTTGTCTCAAATGGCCCTTACTTCATCTAGAATCACACCACATCCCTGGACTATGCTTAGATAATCTCCATCTGCTTTGTCATCTACAAGGTCAGGAAAGCCAAACTGACCCATGGTATTCCCCTCATACCTTACATTTCTGTTGGGAAAACAAATGCCACTGGGTTGATTCAAATTCAGAGAGTGTAAATGACCACAAGACTATGGAAAGGTGACAAAACCATATAACAGACTCATAAAGGTTGGAGAAGACCTCTGAGATCAACAAGTCCAACCGTCAACCCAACACTCCCATGACCACTAAACCATGTTCCCAAGTGCCACATCCACACATTTTTTTGAACCCCTCCAGGGGTGGGGACTCCAGCACCTCCCTGGGCAGCCTGGGCCAAGGCCTCACCACTTGGGCAGGAAAAGAATTCTTCCTAATATCCAACTGAAACCTCCCCTGGTGCAACCGAAGCCCATTTCACCTCATGCTGTCACCAGTCAGTTGGGAGAAGAGACCAGCAATGAGCTCACTGCAGCCTCCTGGCAGGGAGCTGTGGAGAGCAAGAAGGTCTCCCCTGAGCCTCCTTTGCTCCAGGCTTAGCACCCCCAGCTCCTCACAAGACATTCCCCAGACCCCTCACCACATTTGTTGCCCTTCTCTAGACCTGCTCCAGCTTCTCAACGTCTTTCTTATTCTGGGGCACCCAAAACTGACCCAGCCCTCAAGCTGTGGCCTCCCCAGTGCCCGGTCCAGGGCCACAGTCACTTCCCTGCTCCTGCTGGTCACACCATTTCTGATCCAGGCCAGGATGCTGGTGGCCTTCTTGGCCACCTGGGCACACACTGGCTCATGTCCAGCCGGCTGGCCACCAGCACCCCCAGGGCCTTCTCTGCCAGGCCCTTTCCAGCCACTCCTCCCCAGCCTGGAGCGCTGCCTGGGGCTGCTGTGAGCCAAGGGCAGGACCCAGCACCTGGCCTGGCTGAACCTCACACAGCTGCCCTTGGCTCATTGATCCAGCCTGTCCAGACCCCTGCACAGCTTCCTGACCCTCCAGCAGATCAACGTCCCTGCTCAGTTTGATGTCATCTCCAAACTCACTGAGGGTGCCCTCGCTCCCCTCACCCTCATCACTGATAAAGGCAGTAAACAAGACTGGACCCAGAGCTGAGCCCTGGGGACACCACTTAGGAACAGCCACCAGCTGGATCTAACTCTGTTCATCAGGTCAAGGTTATTACAGTGGAAAAGCAAAAATATAGAACCCTTCATTCCAGAAAACTCTTTTAACCAATACTGAGCACCCAGCAATCTGCTCCACCTGAGAACTTTGCTCACCACTGACACTGCCTGTTCAGTCAACATTTTCACTAAGAGGTCATCACACACTTTCAGAGAGACAGAGGTTAGGAAGGAAGAGTAAGAATGGTCACAACATCTGCTTGTGAGGTAGGAACAGAGAGGTATCAGCAGAAATTAACTGTTTGCTTCATGAATCACGTCAGTGTTTGCTTGTTGAAGCCACCCAAATAGCAGCACAGGCTTAGGGGAACAAGCTGTGGGTAGTTCTCCACCTGATGCAGTATGCAAACCTAAAACACCTACCACTGTGCACTTAGCAACCTGCATTACCCCTTCCAAGGACAGAGAGAAATGGGATTTTCAAGGTTCACCCTGTTTCCATGCAGGATACCAGTTTCTCCAGAAATCCAGTAAGTGATTGGTGATTCTGGTCTGGCCCCTGCCTTTTGCAAACCCATCTTTTGGCTTCTTTTCAAGCTTTTCTAACTTTGCTAGACCAATATTCAGTAGCTACCTAACTGTCCCACTTGGTGCCCAACACTAATCTTTCTTTATAGGACTGATGAAGTTGCATCAAGTACATTCCTTAATTGTTCCACTTGCCATTCTCAATTCTGTTCTATATTCCATCCCCCTCTTCTTCTGGCAGCAGAAACCAGAGCTGATGACCTGTTTCTGCCAGGAAACATGGCAGATGCAGGCAGTTTATCAGTCCTTTCAGAGCTTTTCAGTTGTGATTACATTCACGCCTACGTTTGTCTGCAAAGAACAAAAAAGACCAGCAGGCACCAGGGGTAAGAACAAGTCGACTCACCCACAGCATGTGGAAAGCTCTCCTTCCCAGAAACGACATAAAAGAGACCAAGACTGAACAATGAGGAATTTGGGAACCAGGGTGAGGTCTGGCTATCCTGCTAAGTCACTGGGTAGTCACTGGCCCTTGCACACCGTGAGCGTGTGCCTGCTGGTTCACACACTGTGTGCTGGTGCTTGTCAGGGATGCCAAGGAACTGCTGGGAGTGACCTGCACCTTTCAGAACGAGGCACTCAGCAGAGACTAAAAAACAAAACACCCCAACACACCTATCCCCAAAGAAGCCAACACCTGCAACAGGGCAAGGTGAAGGCTTTCTTATCAAGCACTAGTGGGACAGCTCAAGAGAAAGCTGACTGTGGAGAACGAGGCCTTCAGAGAAACATCTTCAACAGAGAGCCAAAACCACGTTCAAATGAATTCTAATAAGCAACACAGTCTTGTTTATTTTGTAGGGATGCAGCAATACAGTTATTTCTCCTCTGGGCTAATCCTTTATTGTTTCAGCTAACAAATATGGCTAGACAATGTAAGCACTGGGCAATTAAGGACATTTCAGTCCTTGTTGTTAAAGGCGTTTTATTCAAGGTCTTTTATTTGCCTCTTTGGTGAATGATCTCTCAAGAGGAGTGGAAAGCCAAGGACAAACATGCTTCATGCACACATGCATTTGAAGTGAAAAGCAGGAGGTTTGCCCAGATTACCAGAAATACCAGCCTCAAAAACTGCCTTAATACACGAGGCTGTTAGCTGCTACAGCCCCCCCTTCACTGTTCATTCATCAGAAGCCACAGCAAAGCTTCAGCTCAAGCAGATTTGGTTTGGCTCACAGTCCCTTTAGGGTGAATTATCATCCATCATTTACAGGTGTGACCACACGGATCAAGTGGAAGGGAGAAAAATAGATGTTTGGTAAAAACAGGCCATGAAGAAGACATGCTTCAATGTCTAGAGATCACTTATCTGAGTTGCACAATTTCATCCCGACACCTTTCGCTCAGGGCTTTTTATCAGATTGTCTCTCTCCATGCTAGTGTGAGCATGCTCCAAAAAAGAGCCCTCACAGACATATGCAAGCCAACAGTTGCCAAAATCTGCCCATTAAATTATCAGCATGATCAAGATGGTAGTAGAGATGTATTTGAGACATACATACAGACGATCTGCAGAGTACATGACAGCACATCGTGGCACTCATAACTTTCTTCCAAAATTTAGCACTAAAAGACCTCTGTCAGAATGACCTGTTTAGGGCATACTTTAAAATTGAAATTCAGAATTGAATTTTGACATTTGAGTTAGAAAACCTTAATTACACCCTTTGATATTATCCTTGCCCCAACAGAAGTTACTGCCTCAAAGGGAAGAGCATCATGATGTTCTTGCTTGGAACCAAGAGACTTTTGTTCTTGTTTCAATTAGCACATCTGAAAAATTGGGTCAGATGGAGGCTTTTTGGAGATAAGGCTTAACCACAGAGCCAATTAGATATAGACATTTCAGGAAAAGGTGCTGTGCAGATTTACTGTAATCCTCTTCCTTATTTTAAACAAAAGCTCAGATTCACACCACCTCTGCTTGCAGGATTATTCTTGAACAGGCTTGGGGAATGATGAAATTGAGAAAAAAGCTGGGGAAAAACACAATCAAGTTGGTCTCCTTCAAGGCCTCAGCTGGGCCTTCCTGAACAGCTCAAACACAATCATTGTTATCCTAAGGAAAAATGTTGCAAGGGTTTTTATGAATGACCTGAAATACATTCATAAAGCTGTCTCTCAATAATAATAAGCAGCCCTCTACTTGGAAAAAGGACAAATTAGGAAAGTGAGTGGGAAAGATCCCACTTCTGAAGGTGCTTAACACACCATCAGTTTACTAACTAAATGCAGAGAAAGTGGAGAACTGAAGAAAGGGAAGAGAACGATCTCACCAGGGAAGCCACACAAAAGGCCAATGGAAACGAAGAAATAAATAAGTGTATGATGAATTCTGGTGCCAGGTCAAAGTGCATTAACTGCCTCTAACATTTGCTGAGTCACTCCCCATGTTCTGCAACCAAAATGTGTGACCAGAAGAGTCATGAGGACAGAACTTCCCCAAGGCTGATCTGAACCTGCAAGTCAGCACATTTAATTAGAGAACGAAAATCTCTCAGCCAAGTGCAACTAGTGTGGACAAATAATAGGACTGAAAATGCCAGACCACATTCTTATGTGAAAGGAATCCACTGTGTACCTTCTCTGCTATGCCATTTTCTGTAGTATAGATGGCCATCAGCTCAGTGTCCTCTGTATCCTGATCACCGCTGGATGTTGCTCCACCATTTATCACGACCTTAAAAATAAAACAGAAAAAGAACCACAAGGTCTTAAAATACACATTTTCTCTGCAGTCATACCTCACGTGGCTCAGTTTTCTCCCTCGGTACTTGACATTTTGTCAGAAAACATTGCAAGCATGGCAAGCAATCATTTCTGTACCAGCACGTCCAGGAACATACAGAAATCTGAAAGGTGACACAGCTCCTCAAAGCCTGGGCAGCATCAGCAGAGGGCAGGGGAACCAGCAGCAGCCTGACTGGCAGGGTTCTTAAGAGGCCGACGTGTACAACCAAAGTGACAGTGTGAGCAGGGGAAAGAAGACAAGCAAATGCTGCCCTGCTGTCCCCTGCCCTTCGCCAAGCTCCTCGGGACACAGCGGGGCTGGCAGCTCTGCAGCAGGACAGTTACCTGTTCTAATGAACTCCTGTTCTAATGAGCTGCCTGAGGAATCCCTGCAAACAGCTCTGCTCTGGACATGAAATAACTGCAGACAACATCATCAGCCACGTTTATATATAAACAGGAACAAGTGGCAAAGGAGGTTTCATTAAGCACTTGTGGAAAGAAAGGTTTTGTACAACATCATTGGAGCAAAGCCCATTAAAAAGGCTGATTCAGGCCGAGCTGGCCCATGCAGGACCTGGAGTGTCACTCACAGGCAGGGTGAAGAACGTGGGGTGCTTGGGTTCATCCTCGTATTTGCCTTCCGTGGAGCCTCCTGCCTCCACCGACTTGGAGGTGGTGTTCTTGCCAATCCCCATTGTTTCCAGAACGTCGGGGACTTGCATGCAGCCCCCCGGCGGTCGCTGCTGGGAGGACAGGGCAGCTTCTGAGGACAGCTTCTTCCCGGAGCAGCAGCACCTCCAGGAATCACAGAGTGCTCAGTGCTCCAGCTGGGACAGAGGGCTGCGTTTCTAAGTACCGTTAGCACCAGTGGCACCTAGAATTGAAGAGAGAAATTATTTTTTCCTTGATTACCTAAGATATAGGCACAAACACACACGCCCTGCAGCCTTGGTTCCCTTTCACGCTCGTGACTCACCAACTCCTATCACCCCTTTTTGGTCTGATAATTAGCAGATGACCATTTAAAGATGAACCTGATGGTAATTGAAATTCTTTCAGGATGGGAACACTGTGATTATTCTCTCATTCTCCTCTTGTCCTCTTCCAGTATTAGTACTACATTGAAACCTTAGTTCTGTTCCAACCTCACAGTCATCTCCAAAGACCATTTTGGGAACACAGCAGAGCTGTGCTGCAGCTAACGCACCCTACAGAACAGCTTGGTACTGAACAGCAGCACCAACAATACTTGTGCTTCTTCAGAGTGTCAGTTTGTACAGCTACTCACAAATTCACCTCTGTAGAATTAAATCCTTCCTCTTAAACCAGCTTATTTTGAAATAAAAAGCATCCAGGAAGCTCAGACTAGGCAGCCAGTGAAGCACACCCAGTGAGCCTATTTCAGGCAGGCAGAACAGAACACTCCTACCCAAAATTAGCCCAGTTGCACAAGGGATTATTGAAGTCATCTCCTGATGGTGCTGAAGCAACTGCTTCAGGATAAAACCATGCACTTGAATTACTATCACCACCATTTTGGCACAGGAGCAGGAAAGAATGAGCAGCTTACTGGTTCTCTTTTGTTTTCACAGAGGGATCACTACAACACAGTTTTCCCACAATTGCTCCTTAAATTAGACCTGCCAGTCCATGGTCATCCACACTTTGGCTATTTCCAAGACTAACAAACCTGAATTAACAGATTTGAGCCTAAACCTCCATACAGGACAGCAGAGAAAATCCCACAGCAAACTAAGTTTTGCAAGACGTTGCTATCGAGCTTCAAAAAAGAAAGTGCAGCTGCAGGCAGCTGTGGATGAAACAAGGATAGCTACAGGGGAAAGCATCTGACAGAACCTTGAACAAGGTACCTTAAAAAATGGACTTTTCAAAATCCTATCAAGTGGTATTTTCTGCAATTTTCTGTTAATTGCCCATTTTCCAGAAAATTCTGACTACCTGAGGTAACAGGGATCTTCCCATCTTACACCTTCCAAAGTGATGTAACGTTTCAAGCGTGAAACTACAGGAACATAAGAAATGCTACTTGGGCACTGAGAGATCCTTGCAGCATTCCTAATTAAATCAAAATGGAATGGAAAGTAGTGCCTTCAAACAAGGGTTTAATTAGGACTTGTTTCTGAAGGTGAATATGAAGACAGCATAATTACTTCTCACGTGAATACAAGACCAAAGGAGAAGACTGGTTTGAGGACTTGCCCTCCTGCAGTCCTGAAAAAAAGGCATTCCCATGATTTCCCACAGATCTCTCCTCCAAAAGTGCTCCAGACACCAACAGCAAATTTAAACTCGTTTGGCTGCTCCCAGGTGTGTGCCCAGATAACTCCTCAGATCTCTACAGGAACATCTGCCTCAATGCAGGGCTGAGAGGTGATGTGAGCAGGTCCAAGACAGATACCAGCTAAAGGTTTTGGGGCAGTGGGGGTGTCTGGGGTGGGGTTTGTTTGCTTTAACTGTAGAAGCACATGGAATTTTTTTTCAAGCACAAAAGACAAAAACAAAAAAGAAAAGAATTTGCCTTTTGCTGTCAATGTAGACATGTTTTATTCTCCAAGAAAATCAGTGGTGGAGACAGGCGTAGTTTAGTCTGGCAGATTTATCACCCCAGACTGTAAAGGAAAAAAGGCAAGGGCAGAATTACATCTCCCTAACAAATGCAGCCGTGCCAATAAAACACCAGGGGCAAGAGTTACACCAGCAGGAAAACGGCCACTGAGGAGAGCTGGTGGAAGGTATTCTGGCATGATAAGCTTCTTAGTTAGCATTAACTAGCATCTCCACTGATGCAAAAGAAAAGCCCACTTAATCCTATTTTACCTTGCATTGCAAACCAGTAAGACTCCTATCTCCTTAAAAGAGATGGGATCACTCCTTGGGAATGGTTCTGGAGCATTACATCAGGGGAGCACGCCAGTCAGCTCTGCCTTGTACTAATTCTTGAAAGCTAGAAGACAATAGCTACAATGGTAGTGTTTGGATGATGGTTCCCAGATGATGATGAAGCAGCAACTCCAAATTAACCTCATCTGCTACTTCTCCCAGAGTCAGGCAGTGTCTGTGTACACACACACAGAACCACAAACACCACGTGTACGTGTGGCACAGGGGCAGTCCAAGGAAAATGAGGAGAACTCAGTTCCAAACTCTTCTTGCTCCTACTCAGCAGTTAAACCTGCATTTAATGGATCATAAGCAGAATTTCTGAATGCTTTTATTCTGCAATCAGAAGTGTCACATTGAAACAGAAATCTTCAGGCAGCAGCAGATCAGGTTATCTGAAAGATATCATTCTTCTCTATCAGACCCCTTACCCCACCAAGCTAAGCCAGATGACACATTTTATAGCCCTCTGTAACAAAACTAACTGATGAGAAGGTGAAAAGTCATCTAAGAAGAGATAAAGCTCATTCAACATCAGCTAGGTACACACAGTACAGTGAATAATCCACCTTGGATCAAGTGAAGTTTCCACCAATACCGACTAAAATTCATCTTTCTGTACCAAATTATCTTCAGTGCTCATACATGATTAACTCAGGAAGGCCAAAAGCTGACATGGGTTTACAAGGCTTTAGATAAGATTAGTATCTAGCCAAACAGCTTACTGCAGGGGATAGTCCAGGTTCAAGTTTACAGGAGAAAACCCTCCCAGCCAGGAGAAAGGCCACACCACATCTCTGCCACAGCTTTTCTCCAGCTCACAGAGCCAGATGTGGAGCCACCCGGGCTGGAGGCACAGCTACAGGAGTGTCTGGTTTGACACACCATGGCAGTTCTTACACTTCACGTTCTCATCACACCTAAAAAGAAGTTTTCTGTTTTCCCAAGGGAGCTCCTGTTTTGTTTAAACAAGTTACAATGCTTTCCAAAGTTCACTGAAACAAAATGAGTTACAAACCAGCAGGGATGGAGAAGAACAACACAGGATTGCAATTAAATGTACTCTTCCTTTTCCTCCTTCAAGTCATAACTGGGAAACCTCTACCACAAATAAAAATACTCACTGAAGTCAACAACACAGGACTTGCCTACAGAAAAATCTACCCATGTACCAGGACAGGCTGCAGGAAAAGCTCCTAGCTCAGCAGGTACCAAACTGCATGGAAACTGCCTGAAAAATAATTTGAAAACTCATCTCTTATTAGATTCAAGAGTTAACATGGGCAGGACAGAGGATACAGCTACACATAAAAGATTATTGACAAGGAAAGGAAGGATGAGCTATGAGCCCATGAAAGGAGCAGGTGACTGTAACCTGTCATCTCCCTGGCATTGTTTTCTTTGATCATATTTTTTGGCTGGGCCACACTAAAAATGTTCCTATTTTTTCCCAGTAGTCTGATAATATCCCATAACAACTACAAAAGGCAAATAAATAAAACAATTCAGGTTTGCTGTGAGGGCATTCATCTCCACAGTGCCACGTCTGAGAGCCTGCAGCATTTCCATCTAGAGCCTGGCCAAGCACAGCCTGGGGAAGATGAAACCAGCCTGACCCCCAGACTGCAGCACTTGGGGAAAGAGGTTCTGGGTTCTTCCTTTCTGTTTATTCGGGTGTTTTTTAAACATCCATTAGAAGAGTCAACAACTTGTCAGGTGCTGTCAGCAGCAGGACAGAACTGCTGTGTTCAGGGTATGCTGTTGATCCTATAAAGCTCATGCAACCAGCAGACCTACAGGTGAAGCCTTTGGAAGAAGCTTAGTCTGGACCTCACCATGAAGTCTCCCAGGATTGTCATGATGACTTCCAACTCTAAAAACTTCTGGTTTTCCAACGTGTAAGAACATGCAGGTTTTCCCCTGCTCCCCAGAAGCTTTAAGAGGGAAACAGTTCTATGTATTTCCTTATTTACCAAACTCAAAACAAAACTTTCTAAAACCAGGAGGGTCTCTCAAACTCCATCTGGATCTTTGATTTCGATCAGCTGAGCCAGGCCCATCATATAGTGATGGCAGCCAAAATACTTTGAACTTTCCATACTGACTTGGGCAGCTGCTTTCAGAGGACAGAAGACAGCTGACCCAGCATAATGCTGAGCAGATAAACACAAACAGCAGACACAAAGTTTGAACACAGCTTAAGCTGCTCAATTTAGTGCTTTGCATGATGGGGCCAGAGTGTTTTAGAACTGGTAGCAGGTCTCCTAAATCCACAGTTGCAGCCAGAAGCTGCTGGACAATCACAAATGTTTTGCTGCTCTCTAAAGTGGTGAAACTGTTGCAAAGACAAATGGAAATGGGCAGCCCTGTAGCTGTCTGCTGCCTTGCTTTGTCAGACACTAAGCTCAGCTGGAGGTGGTCTGGGACAGGTAAACCAGTTGGCATTCAAAGGAGAGTCCCTGCCAGTCTGAATGGTTAGTGTTACTCCCTCCTGTCTCCTGGTGTAGTACAAGTGTCAAACAGCAGCAACTAGTTAATCAGAACCTGTGGTCCTCTCCCTGCCCTGGCCCTGGCAAAACAGACCTGACCCACGTTCAGAGGCACCACCCTGCCATGGGAGGAACTGTTGGTAAAGGAAGCACAGGCATGGCCATACAGCGAGCTGGGGAGGAAGCAGCACAGCCCTCCAGCACCCTGCTGGAGGAGGGGACAGAGGTGACAGGTGACAGAGCTGACAGAGCTGACAGAGCTGACAGAGCTGACAGAGCTGACAGAGCTGACAGAGGTGTGCCACCCCTACACACGTGTCACACTGCCCTGAGGAAGCAGTTGTGTCAGATCCAGCCACCAACCTTTCTGACTTTTACAGATGGCTGAAGAGCCACGAGAACACAGTCTGTTGCACACACCAAGGAGATTAGAGTCCAATTAAGGTGGCAGGTTAATTACAATCTTCAATTTATTA